GATTTCTTGCACTGCTCCTTCTGATATAATTTAATTTGATATTTTCAAAGGATAGACACAAAAATGAGCCAGTGTGTGCTTTATTTAATGTTAAAGCCATTCCAAATATGTTCACATCACATTTAAAATCAGATCTCTTTTTTATCTAATTTACTTGAGTAGTAATTTTCCCAAATACTTTCTTACTCTTACTTGAGTAATTTTTGGACAACTACTTTGTGTTTCTTCTTGAGTTAAATTAATTTTGAAGTAACATTATTACTTAAGTTAAAAAAAAAAAAAGTTGCCGACTCTACCGACCTCTGCTCATATCAAAGAACAGAAATTGTACTTGTACTATTAGCAGATACAGATACGGCACAGATAGGACCCAATCAACCTTTGTAACAGTCACTCCTCTGTTTACTCTTATGTGGGAAAGACAACTCCAAATATGGAATTGTAATCTACTGTAATCATTTTATTACTTTATAAGGAAACATATTTGTGAGTGTGTGAGTCAGTGGAAGATTTGGTATTGTTTGGTGTTGTGTAAAAAGGCTGTAATGACTCATGATTCACACGCTTAATCTGTCGTTATATAAATACTAGGGGTGTCAAATTATCGCGTTAATTGCGATTAATTAATTACAGTCATATTTAGCGCGTTATGTTTTTTAATCGCGTTAATCTCATTTTTAATCTCTAACTTTAGTGTTTCTGTATGCGAGTTGCTTTATTATAAAACCTGTTTTTATGTGTTGTTGGGACAACAGCACACACACACACACACACAAAACACATTTACACATTTTTTTATTTCGGTAATGCTACTCATTGCCGGAAACCCACAAAAAACGCGCGCAGTAACAGCGATGTAAACGTCACGTTAACGTTGGCGGCGTCAGGACGAGGTGGTAGAGCCAGTAGAACAGAGGCAGCAGTGCACAGGTAAAAACGCATTCGTGTCTTGGAAATTCTTCTCCCGACGTGAAATATAAAAGAAAATAACAAATATAAATCGCCTACAACTTAAATGTCACTGGTGAAAACAACCTGCATAGGCTCATGATGTCTGCACTACTGTCCTATAGTGACCTGCCACATGAGGGACATGCACACAAAACACACACAAACAAACACACACACCTTTCATCATCGTCATTAACCTGAGAACGCGCGACCACGTTTCCTTCCGTAGTTACTGTGTGGACACCGACGTGCTCCCCGTGCGCCGCGTGTGGATCGTGTTTTCTCGCGTACGCGGCGTAAACCGCGCTTCCTCCTGCGCGCCTCTAAACCAGAACTAACACCAAGACTAAAACCAGGACTAAACCAGTCCAGGACTAAACCAGGACTAAACCAGAACTAAAAACCAGGTCTAAACCAGGTCTAAACCAGGACTAAACCAGGACTAAAAACCAGAACTAAAACCAGGTCTAAACCAGGTCTAAACCAGGTCTAAACCAGGACTAAACCAGGACTAAACCAGAACTAAAAACCAGAACTAAAACCAGGTCTAAACCAGGACTAAACCAGGATTAAACCAGAACTAAAACCAGGTCTAAACCAGAACTAAACCAGAACTAACACCAGGACTAAAACAGGATTATCCATTCCAGGACTAAACTAGGACTAAACTAGGATTAAAGCAGGTCTAAACCAGGACTAAAAACAAGGACTAAAACCAGTGATCTCATATATAAAGCATTTCTCTATCAATAATATTTTTAATATGGTTAAGGAAAGACTGGACTTTTTATTGTCTTTAAGTAGACAAAAGTTATCATGTTCAGATTTCCTCGTCTTTGCTACTTTACAGCAAACAATTTCTTATTCATGGAGACTTGGGCTCAACAGCCAATTTGGAGAGATTTGTTAAACAATAAATGACTTTATAAAAGTCACTTTTTTTTTAATCTATATCAGTCTTTTGATCTGCCACAATAATGTAATAATGAATTTAAATTAAAAATACCTCAAATTGAAGGCTTTTCTCAGCAATTTTTAGGTGAGATTAAAATGAGATTAATTAGATTAATTAATTACAGATCATAATTAATTAATCTCTCAATTTTTTTAATCGCATGACAGCACTAATAAATACATTGTGAGTACTTTTTTCAGCATAAATAGTAGTTTTTGCATGAAATCCCGTGCAGGTGTATTCTTGTGAGTGAAGTTTGGGTCCAATACATGGAACTCAATAGTCCCACTCACTTCAAAATATAAAATTAAGACTTCCATTCTTTTTTCCACTAGACTTTTATCGAATATTAAGGAATTCAAAGACATCAGGGAGGTTACCCAGCTGCATGCTTATTTATATCCATAACGCAGTAGTTTTAGACCAGATATCAATGTTTGTCTTGCTATTGTGGCCACTATTTATTACCGATATTTGCAGATACCGATATTAAGCTTTTAATATCTATAGCACAGACCAAACTGAGTTAAGTTAAGTGAAGTTTACAAATTAACTTTTCGCTTTTGTAAGAAATAATAATTTGGGGGTTTAAATTCATATTTTTGCAAATTTAGTCTAAACAAAAAAACACATCTGATGCACTGAAGACAAACTGGGAGTGACAGGAATACACAGACTGGGACCGCGCAAAAAATATCAGTGCCAAATAACGACTAAATTTTTATGGGATGTTTTAGATGTGGAAACAGTATTATACATTATAACATAGATCTGAAAATAGTGTAACGTGGGCTCTGTAAATCAGCTTATAGGTCCAGAAATCAGATAAGGATCAGATTTTGGTTTGAGCGTAACATAGCCTGTGACTTGTTCAAAGTTGTCACAATACTTAAATTTTGACTACAGCCCTAGACCAGAGACAATACTCTAATAGGAGACCAGATAAAATACATACACTGCCATTTTTTGAGAAATCTTGACAAAATCTGAGGTAGTAATACACTTGTAACATCATCTCAGCACTGCTTTTGTAGAAAATAAAATAAACATACAAAATTACACACTTGGTACAGTAAAGGGCACAAGAAATTGCCAGTGTACTGAGGAGTGAAGCGTGTGCGTGTTACCGATTAAATAAAGGTTAAAATAAATAGTGCCTATATTTAATGTGGGATTAAACACCTAAACCCCGCCCACATTTCATTTCAAATAGAGCTGCTAAACTGAACAACTAAAATGAAAATAAGTACTGAAAAAACAAAAATGTGGCTGTTTGCTGCAGGTGTTCAAATCAGTGGGAGCAGGTAGAGGGTGCTCTTGGAAAAAGGATCAAAACTAAAATACAACGGACTCCACGCACTGCAAAGTAGTAAAAATTGCATGAGGAGAAATATAGTTAAAAGGCCTTTATTTAAATGGCCAAAGCCAACATGTTTCGAACAAACTGGTCTTCATCAGGGCTTAATTGATGAATTAAACCCGGATAAAGACCAGTTTACTTCTTTGGAGTGCCTGGAGTCCATTGTGTTTTAGTTTTGAAAATGAGTATTGAAAACGCAATAATGACATTAGGACCGTTTTTATGATTTCTTGAGACAATGTTTATTAGGTAAAAATTGTCAAATATCCCAAAATACTACACAGTCTGAGTAGAAGACGCAAAAGTGGAGTAGCGTCTTCACTTTTTATTCCGTGTTTAGACAAGCATTTTTGGGAGAAAATCTGCATGCATACGGTGATGCAAAAGTGTGTGGAATTTGATTGGGTATCCATGCCAGGTATGTATGTGACGTAAACGCGTACACGACGTGAGCAGATATGACCATAGTTTTGCGTCTTGGGCAGTATAGACGGAAATGCTACGGCGAAGCATATTCAACTTTTCCACTCTGGAGGGTGGTTTCAGATTTTTGCGTTTTTAAGCCCCAAAAACGTCGTCACCGTCTAAACGAAAGGCACTTCCGATTAAATATTTTAGTTTTTTGTTTTTTTTTTTACCAGCAAGCGTTCTTGTGTAAACATGCCCTTAATCTTTATCACAAGGGCCTCCAACTTTTTTCCTCTGGTGAGCTACTTTTACAAAACGAAAATGCCAGAGAGCTACATGTTTTAACAGTCACAGGAAATGACTATATATGAAAGCCACGTGGCACAGTTCGATGCCTATAAAACATAAACCATTATCCATTTATTAGTGCAGAAACTTAAAGTTTTATCATGATTTGAGTAAATTTCACTTGACAAGTAAAATTATCTACCAATGGAACAAGACTTTTGGTACTTAAAATATGAAAACACATCTTGCTACATTTAAAATAAGAAAAACAACAACTTTTTGCACTTAAAATAAGAAAAACAACAACTTTTTGCACTTAAAATAAGAAACAAAATCTAATTTTGCTTGAACTGAGAAAAAAAAAAACACTTATTCCATTGGTAGATCATTTTACTTGTCAAGTTGAATTGAATCAAATCAAATAAAGCAAAATGTTCTTAATTTAAGTCATTTTAATTAAGCTAGTATTGGATTTTTGCAGTGCAGGCATTAAACTGATACATGTACAATGGGAATAGGCATTTAATCCAAATTTTACTTATTCAGTGCAATACATAGAATTCCGAAATCCCTTGGTGAGCTACTTGGAAGGGGGTGAAGAGCTACTGGTAGTTCCCAAGCTACAGGTTGGAGACCCCTGCTCTATCATGTGAATTTAAAGGTCCTATGTCACACTTTTCTTTTTTTTTTTTTTTAACAGTGAAGCGGAGCACTTCCTGTATTACCACGACACATCACAAGTATTTTCCGTTTGAGAGAAAAACACAGCCTAGATTTGTGTGTTTTTAACATGTATGAATGCAACAAAACACAACTCCAGATATGTTTTTGATGAGGAAACATAATATAGAAAATAGCGTAATATGGGCCCTTTAAATGATCCAGAAATGTCCAGAAATCAGATAATGATCTGATTTTAGTGTGCACAGAACACAGCTATTGACTTGCTCATAGTGTTGTCACAATATAAACATACCTCAATTAAAAACTCGGTACTAGGAAAAAGCTGTATACTCAATATTGATTTCAATACCACAATAATAATGAAAAAAACAGTCTTTATTTAGACAACAGAATGCCATTTTCAGCATTAAACTGTATTACTTTCTTTTAAATTACCATGTGATCTTATATCTTTGTAATCCCCCAGTGGTCCATGGGTGTATACTAGTCTGTGTACTCTTATACTTGTTCTGATACAACTCAAAATCATTCCAGGAAAGGTTCATTTCTGTCCTGTGAATGTGACTTTTTTAGTATCAATAGCTGCTCCAGTGAGTATTTAGTTTGGATACTAGTTCAGTATCAGATTTTCGATACTACTGCTCGCATAAATACTCGTCTTAAAGGTAGAAGGCGCTCCGGAAGTCTCTCTCCCAGTTCTTGTCCCTCTGCTCCTTCCTCCTCTCCTCCTCTCTCCTCACCCCTCTCCCCACTTTCCTCTCCTCCTCCCTCCTCCTCCCCCTCTCCCCCTGCACAGCCTGAGCGTCCATGGCCTTAAAGTGTGTGACCCTGGCCTTCTTGCCTGGCCCGTAGCCCAGCCCATCCGTGTCCCTCTTGAGCACCGTGGGCACCGGCTGACGGGCCCCGCTTCCCTCTGGTCCCAGGCCGCTCCCGGGGTCCCATCCGCAGCGCAGCATCATCTGGTAGCTGGTGCTGGAGGCGGGCAGGCAGTAGTGCGGGGCGGGTGGAGGGCGTCGCAGGTTGAACTGGTGGAGGGTGGAGGAGAGGTGGGAGGGGGCTGGGCCTGTGTAGGACGTGCCGCAGGATTCGCACCACTGTGGACAGGGGGCGCTGAAAGAGACAAAATGAAGATTTAGTGCAGGTGGTACAGGTGGGCAGTCACAAGCAAAACAAGAAAAGGATTTAAAGGGCATACATTTGATTTCAAACCATTAGTCCTTTTTGTTACTGTGATATTGCACCATGACACAAACAACAAGCTCTGTTACTCTCTGCCTTTTGTCACTCTGGGATAATGCCAGGCAGCTGGTTTCCCATGATTCTTCATATGATTCTTCCCATGATTGGACAGGTGACCCTGTCAGTAGCTTGTATATTAGTTATTACCTCAGAAAATGTTATGTAAAATGAATACATTATATTATATCCTGATCAAAATCTTACAGGAGACTGAAAAACATGGCAGATTCCTAAATCAGTGAGTGAAGCACTAAACTCTGTTAACCTGAGGTGAGATTAGGTCTGTCGCGGTTAGGGAATTTCTCCTGCGGTACAGTATAGCGGCTCAACACCATGGTATGCAGTGATACAGTAAGTAGAGTAGTCTCTAAAAATGGACCCGTGTAGGACTCTGGGTCGAGTCACGTTGGTCACGTGATGTGATCACGGTGGCCCAACATGGTGGGCGTTTTAGTACCGCGGTGATTGATTTTTGCGGTTGTCGCGACAGCCCTAGGTGAAATAAATTGAATTTTATCTGTAAATGATATGTGACCAATGAGCCCCTTTCATACGCGTTTCACATGCGTCAATTAAAAAAAATGCAGGATCATGTTTGGTTTGTTCTGGCTGATATCAATCTGTATAAAAAATATACAAAGATATCGTTATGGTTTTCCCAGGCAAGAGTTCATGTGGTCCTCGGGAACTCCAGAAAATATTTTTCAGCGTTGAAAAATGCACTCTGACTCACATTAGTGGGGAAAACAACCCTGAGTTCCACAGCTGATGTCTCTGCTGTAGAGACCAAACGAAACCAGCTTATTGATCACTGTCAGTTGTCAAAGTCTTAAGGGCACAATAAGTGTGCAGAAAAAAAAAGAAAAATGGTGAAATGTTTTCAAAAACAGTCACTTGGCCTTTGAAAAGGCTAACAACTCCTCTTTACTAGTTAGCTCTCTTAAAAGCTGTCAAAGAGAAGGATCAGTGACTTTACTCCAACTTTACAAGTCAGACCCTGGACGTCTCATCTGGAACACTCTACAAGAATGCAGAATTAAGCCCTGATGATTTAGGGTCTATCAAATGAACAGCAATAGTTAGAGGGTGCCAACATTTCTTGCATTTATCGATGTAGATTCAATTATGTAATGAATAGACGTGACACCAAACAGAAATATCTCTGAAAATGATTTGAGTTCCAGATACAGTGTGAGGCCACAGCAGCATGTTACTGTTTTTGTGCTTCCCTGTGGATTGAGCATCTCTGTATATAGTGGCTCTTTATATAGTAGTAAGTAAAACAAACCTTTTAGCAGGCTTGGAGTCTTTTGTCGGTCTTCTGCCAAAGCTGTCCAATTCTTCTACCACTTCTTTATGGCCAGCTGAAGAAAAATTGAAATAAAATGAATATTGGGTTAATATTTACACTATATATTGTACATTTACTATACTTATTTTGCTGAACAATACTTTTTTCAACCTTAAAGCAGACCAATTCTGTGCCAACTCAGAGCTTTTCACGATGTTGTTTCCCCTCACCATTTACTCGCCTGAAGTAGTATTTGCAGCAGCTTGTGCATTTATTTTATCAACACCCATTTTCACCAGCAACAGTACATACCTGTTTTGTATTTATTTCATTCTCCAATTTTATTTTCTTACTCAGTGATACACAAAGGCTTTGGCAGTGTTGTGTAGTCCTTTTGGTACAAATCAGGAAAAATAAGACTTGTTTCTTTTATCAAATAATTAAGATTATAGTTAGAGGAGTAAGTGAGTGAGACAAATTTTGTGATGTGTGTGTCCAAATTATAACATAATGATCCACAGATGTCATAGATTACAACTACTAGTACATAGTAGACATGTCTTCTTAAATATATGCCTGAATAATATCTGTTGCATTATTATTCTGAAGTACACTACCATCTGACAGTGAGTCTGACTCGACTGAATGAGTTACCTTCCATAGCGAGGTCCCTGGCGTCACGGCCCTGCAGGTCCACCACCCCTACCCAGGCCGCCCCTCTCTGCAGCAGGAGTCTGACCGCCGCCCTGTGCCCCGCCCAGCTCGCACACATCAGGCCAGTCCACAAGTACGAGTCCTGCAGTCCACACAGAAACATACTGCGTAATAGAGCTGCATGATATCAGAAAAACATGCAATATTCAATAATTATGATTTGCAATATTATGTTATAAAAAACGCCCTTATGTAGAATATTTGTTTGTTTAGAATGTTAAAATATATTGAAAACAGCAAGAAATGACTTGCAGTGTATATGATAAGTTTGAGTATACATTTCCAGGGTGTCTCCGTGTTTGACTACCCCAAATTCAAGACTTTTTAAAGACCTTTTTAAGATCACTTAAATGAAAATTAAGACCAACGTCGCACCCATTATGTGGGCGAAAAACACCAGGTCTAATTCTAATAATTACCAACCAACTACCGGTACCTTATTTAAAATCTAAGGCTACGTTTATATGATGACGGTCGTTGTGTCTTTACTTTTTATTCCACGTTTAGACAGGCATTTTCGGGAGGAAATCTGAGTGCATAAAAGTGCACAAAAGTGCGTGAAATTGGATTGGGTATGCATGCCAGGCGGCTCGGTGGTGACACGAGGTGGTGATGTATGTGACGTAAACGCTTACGCGACATGAGCAGATCTGAACAGAGTTTTGCATCTTGGGCAGTGTAGACGGAACTGATTGTTTACTCATTGTCGCCGGCGCCAAAAACCAAAGTATTGTTTGTGCATACTCCAAATTAGATGTTCATTCATGTTAAGTTATTTCACGTTGTTGTTGTTTTTTTTCCCTCCCTCCATTTAACGTTGCACTGCAGCCTGGTTGAAGAAACAAAAAAAATATGCTAATGAAATTTAAGACCTTTGTGAAAAAAATAAGACTTGGACAACATAATTTAAGACTTTTTAAGGCCTTAATTTAGGAACATAAAATTTAAGACCTTTTTAAGACTTTTAAGACCTCACGGCTTTACTAAAATATACTAAAAATTAATCTTATTTTGGTGACTTCCTGACTTCTTTCCTTTTTAAATGGTTATTTTTAAAAATAATTAAAACGGGAAAAATCTGTGAAGGTAGTTATGATTAGATTATGTATAATAAAAACAAACCACAACATGTTTATTTTGTTAATTTTTTTCTTTTTAATGCTTCCCTCACAAACTGCCACTTGATTGATGTAAAACTATGATAAGTATTTACCACATTTGTGTGACTGTCGCTTCAGCTTAAAGGTCATATGTAGCACAAACTGGATTCTTGTTGCTTTTTAAGTCATGTTATAATGCTGTTACCTCATCAGACACATATGTAGAGTTGTGTTTCTTTCATTCAGATATGTGAGTAAGCCTTACTAGTCTGTCTATAGCTCCCAAACTCAAAATCCTGTCATATAGCTATAGTTTTCAAGTTAATAGCTCCATTTATATCTTTAGCTCAGTAGAGATCGGCAATTCCAGATATCAGCCAAATGTTTCTAGTGAAGGTGTAAATGGTCCCTCACCCATTCACACACACATTATACATCAGGCGTGAATGTGTGAATGGTGTATGGAGTTTAATAACACAGTGGAGCACTTCCTGTATTACTGCATCACATCACAAGGTGGAACAGTATTTTCTGTTGGAGAGAACTGTGTGTATATCTTTGATAAGGAAAGAACATTATAAAATAATGAGAAAATAGCATTATATGGGCCCTTTAAGACCTTATGGTACCTGGAAATTGATGTCTGCTCCCTTGATCAGCAGAGCTTTGAGAACCGATGTGTCTCCTTCGTGGGCACAGCGTAGTAGCCGCAGTCCTTGCAGCTCTTCTCTCCTCTCTCCATCTCCTGTCTCTCCATTCACACCAGGCGCCACATGCCCTCCTCCTTCAGGATTCAGCTGACCATTAGCAGTCCCGTCTGCTCCCGTACCCTCTCTCCTGTGTCTTAATTCTCGTCTGATCTGCCTTTTTCTTCGGCTGGGCTTGACCATCTTTGCTGCATCCCCCTTCTCATCTTTCACCAAGTTCTCATAAAATTCTCTGGCCTCTAGTCCTGTTATTGGAATAGTTGGTGCTGGGCTGGAGTGGTGAGCTTCTATTCTAAAAACATCCCGGTCAGTGGCACGGGTGAAACCTTCTAAAAAAGCCATGATGAGCCAAAATAGGGTGACTGGATTTTCTAAATAAAAAACTGGGACATGCCCGGTTTGTGGTGGTTGATAGTAAAATTGTGAAACGAGTGCATGATTAAAGAAAACCGTTCTACTGTCAGTATAGTCACATTTTTTTTGTGTTTTGGTAATTTTTAAGCATGCTTTTCAGTATTTTCCTACACAAATTAAAAAGTATGCCTCAAAATAGGGACACCAGGGATATTTCTTAGATAAAACTGGGACAAATCAGTGGTTTTGGATAAATCTGCAGGAACAGGGGACACAGGGCTCAAAACTGGGACTGTCTCTGAGAAATAAAGACATCTGCTCACCCTAAGCCAAAACCAACACTACCTTATAATTTGTTCCAATAAGATAAGTGGTAAGCATCGCTCCAAATGCTATCTCACCATTACTATTAAATCATTGAATAAGAGAGTTGATGAATATTTCTTTGCGATTATTTTCCAACCTGTGAACATAATTTAAAAGATAAGATACACATACATTTAACACAAGCTCTGTCAATAAAAAAAAAGCTGCCTATAACTTCATATAACAAAATAAACTTACAAAACATTGTCCCGGCACAATATCAGTATTGTCAGATCCAAGACTTCATATAAATTAGATAGATCGGTAATATACGTATGAAGGATTTTCTCAAATAACGAAATCGAGCCCGGAGTGGTTTGTTGTTGTTGTTAGCACGTTAGCATAGCTCAAACCGGAACACGATTTGAAACGTTTGGGAAAGTGCTGCTCTCTAGTGGTGTGGAAGGATGCTCTGTGCAGAAAGGGCAACAGCAAAAACTTAATTTACGTTAATACACGTAAATAGAAAACTGGGACATTCCTGGTTTAGGCTGGCTTATAATAATAAAATTGTGACACGAGTGCGTAATTAAATAAAAAAATTTATGCACTCGGCACTAATGTCAGTATGACTCAGTATAGTCACATTTTCTGAGTGTCGTGGTCATTTTTAAACAGCTTTTCTGTATTTTATCTGTCTGGGACATTTTTTCTAATAATACTGGGACAAATCAGTGGTTTTGGATAAATCTGCTGGGACAGGGGACACAGGGCTCAACAATGGGACTGTCCCAGGTAAATACGGTCATCTGGTCTACAAAATAAAACCAAATAAACCAAATTTAAAAAAGCATCAGCCCCGAGTCGATGAAAAAATATAATATTGTATAAGTGAAACAGACTGGTAGACCTAAAAGTGTATTATCAAGCAAAAATATTCAGATAATATGCAAATAAATAAAATCCACAAATTGATTTGTTCCAGTTTTATACAAGAAATATCCCAGGTGTTCCTATTTTTAACCAATCTGATATCTACCAAAAGTGAAGACAGGCATAAATTGTCAATTGTTTAGGTAAAATACAGAAAAGCTGCTTAAAATTACCAAAGCACAAAGAAAACGTGACAATACTGACTCACATAATAATCATGAATAGACCAAGTGCAGAACAATTTTCCTTAATTACTCATTTCACACAATTTTATTATTATTAACCACCCTAAACTGGGCACATATTCGTTTTTGATTTTGAACATCTGGTCAACCTAATCTAATCAGGCCTAAATGTCCGAGGTTTGGACAAAGGGACATGGATCATTAATGCTTTTCATTGTAAAAAAGGCTTGTACTTGTACTTGTACGAGTAACTTTGATGTACCTGTACAAACACTGAAAATGTGATGGCATAAATAGAATTACAACTATTAAGATTTTTTTAACAAAGATTTATTGTTATGGCTTGTTTTAAACAAATGAGGAAGCCTAACAAATAATTATACATGTGCACATATATTTTTAAAAGAGAAAGCCTACATGGTTAGTAAACATGCAAACTAAAACTAATAAAACTAAAATACCTGCCTTATCTGCTGACATGTTTGTAATATGTGACAAAATTATGTACAACCTTATATGAATGAATGGACATGTTGAAATGAGAGTAGTTGACAGTTTATAAAACTTGACTCACTGCATGATGCTGAAATGAACAAAATGGTAGAAAATCTATTTAATTTGTCTGTATTTGTAAAGATGTCAACAGATTATAATAAAATGAAGTTGGTGATAATAGCAATACGTTAGTAAAGATGTTAAAATAATCGGAATAAAATTTAATCAAATGCTAATGAGATAAAAGTGACTGTTTATCACTGAAAGGATGTTTCTTGGTATTGTCATTCATAACTCTACCATACACTCTTACAGAAAAGACAAAATACATTGCCATAGTTCATTTCAGCTGGTAGCACAGGTGGCTCTGGTACAGCTCCCTTCAGTGTTCCCAATGATTGTCTCCCTGTCGCTGAAATGTCCTAAAAGAGAACCGAGAGATTAGATAAGAATCAGGAACCATTACATAAGATGACAATAAAGATACTACCAACTCACCATGAGCGGTCTGAGCAGCTCTTGTAGTGCTAATGGAATTTCTTCATGTGTCTGTTTCTGTCCCCAGTCTGAGAGAAGGTCTGTCCACAGTGTGGGCAGGAGTATGGCCGCTCTCCAGTGTGGATGCGCATGTGCACGTTCAGTTTGTCTCTGCTGATAAAGCGCTTGTTGCAGCAGCTACAGACATGAGGTTTGTCCCCCGTGTGATATCGCTGGTGCATCTTCAGTTCTGTCTTGCGGCCGTAAGTGCGTCCACAATCAGGACACTCAAACTTGGGCCGGACGGCCATGTGCTGGCGGCTGTGCAGCTTCAGACTGCTGCTCGTGCTGAAGCTCTTTGGGCACTGGTCGCACTGGAAAGGCTTGAAGCCAGTGTGGATGTTGACATGGAGCTTGAGGCTGGCAGCGTTGGCAAAGCCATTCCCACAGATGGAGCACAGGTGAGGCCTCACTCCAGTGTGTAGACTCATGTGCTTCTCTAGTTTGTTTTTGTTCAGGAAACTCCTTCCACAGACAGGGCAGTTGGTTGGCTGCTCCCCTTCGTGAGCGTTCATGTGTTCTGCCAGCTCTGCCAGTGTAGCAAAAGCCCAGTCACAGCGAGTGCACGAGTAAGGCCGCTCCTTCCTCAGTTTCTTATGTCTAAGACAGTGGTAGTCAAATTCTTCTTTATGCTCAAAGCTCTCCGGGCAGCAGACACACTGATAGGGCCTTTCCAGTATGTGAGAGCGCAGGTGGAGCTTAAAAGCATTCAGTTTTATGAATACAGTGTGACAATGTGGACACATGCACTCTCTTTTCCTGTGCACCTGCATATGCCTCTTGTAATGAGACTGTTTTTGAAAAAACTTGGAGCATCGGACACAATAATACTTTCCACTTACATGACCTTCCTCATGCTTCTTAAGAGCATGCTCAAGCTTGAACTTCTTTCCACATACCGAACATGGATATGTCCTATTATGGACCTCTTCTTTATGTGCCTGAAGTTCTTCAGGACTGCTAAAGGTTTCTGAGCACATGGGACAAATACCATTTCTTTCCTTTTCATGTTTCTTCATATGCCTTGTCAGATCTTCTGGGAAGGCAAAGGTCTGCTCACATGTGCTGCATGTGTAAAACTCCCCATTTGTTTCTTTGCGGTGGCGTAAAATGTGTCTTTTTAAATGATTCTTCCGCTTGAAGACACTGCCACAGTCAGAGCAGGCAAAGCTCTTTTGAACACCGGGAATTCTTTTTGCATCATTCCTATGGACCTTAATGTGGCTCAAATATAAGGATTTGTGCTTGAACTGTTTGTCACAAAAAGGACAACACACAACCCCTGGTTCATGCAGGCTTTTATGATTTTTAAACTCTATCCAGTTGGAGAGGTTCTGTCCACAAACAGTGCAGGTGTACCTGCCTTGGCTGTGCTGGACCCGATGGTGACGCTTCATGTGGTAAGACTGGCTGAAGGCCTTGTCACAGATGGGGCATTTGAAAGGCTTCTCCTTAGTGTGCACTCTCATGTGTCGGGCCAGTTTGTTTGGCCCCCTGAACCACCTGTCCTTACAATGAGGACAGCGATGTCTTTTTGGAACAGGTTTGGGCACTTTGTCTGTTTCATTGTTAGCTTTTGATTTGGATTTCTTGCCATCTGAGAGCTCCTCACTATCATTCTCTTCATCACTCCCAGGACAATAGTCACTGCCTGATGCACCTTCCTCCTGCATCTCTACATTACTTTGCCCCTGTGTTTGACTCACACCCTCATTAGTCTCACCTAAATCTGTGCTTAAAGACACTTCGGCGTTACAGTTTGATTCACTTTGAGGAGTAACTATCTCTGCTGTGCTGCTAGTCACACGTCTTGGTCTTCCTCGCTTTCTTTTCAGGACAGTAGGTGCAACAATCTTTTGAGTTTGAACCAAAAGAGCTTCCGGGTTATCTCCACTGTCCATAGCAACATTCTGACCTACCAACTCCCATTTACCCATAGGGTTCTCTTCACTGTCACCACCACTGTCGTCACTCAGAGGTTTGCCCATTATTCTTGCCTGTTCCTCAGTCTCACTCCACAGGCAATGACGTCTAAAATGTCCTAAAAACTTGTGATAATTTGGACTTATCTTGTTACAGTAAGGACACACTACAGGGTCAGGAGGGTGCATACGTTTGTGCTTTTGTAATTCCTCTGCACTGGCCAGATCCTCACCACATCTGGGACACACAAACATGCCGGCCCCATGCTGCACCTTCATGTGCCTGGTCATGTGGTAGCCTTGGCTAAAGGACATAGTACACAAGGAGCACGTGAAGGGCTTCTCCTTAGTGTGCGTCTGCATGTGCCGGAGGAGTTTGTTTAAACTAGGGAAAGAATGGAGGCAAAGTGGACAATGAGGATTTTTTAGATCAGTTTGAATAAGTTCTTCATTGTCATCATCACTGTCCTCTGTCCTAAGTTCTGATAAGAGTTTTTCAGTCAGTTTGTCATGACCAGGCTCATTATCCTCATGGTTAAAATAATCTAAAAGGTCTGGAGGGCCTGCATCTTGAGAAATGCCATTATCCTGACTTACAATAACATTCATATCAATGTTTTCAACTGCCAAATTTGTAGCATTAGATTTTGGTTGCTTTGCATCTAGCTTCCTTCTATACCTCCTTTTCTCTTTAGGCAACTGCTCCAACTCTTCCTGGTTTGGCGGCGATTTACAGTGGGCCTTGACATGTGCAGCGAACGCGCTCGGGCTCGGGCAGACCTCCTGGCAGAGTGGGCACGGCACGGGTTCAGCTGGATGGCTTTTTTTGTGCTCTTGTAACTCTGTGGCGCTGCCGAGGGTCACGCCGCAAAGCGAACACACGTGCTCTCCCGCGTCGTGCTGCCTCCTCATATGCCGGAGCAGGTGGTAGGTTTGGCTAAAAGTGACTGAGCACACGGGGCAGCAGTAGGGCTTCTGCTGGGTGTGGCTCCGCATGTGCCGCACTAACTTGTTGATACCACGAAAATGCCTGTCGACGCAGATCGGGCAGGAGGGACCTTTAGCCTGACTTTTGCGTGAGTCTGCAATTTCTTCCTCTTCATCGCTAGCTTCCATTTTGATTTCTTTAAAATTAGCCAGGGTGGACGGTAGGCTTGAGTTGCAACTATTTTCTGAAACATCATTGCCAGCGCTGTCACTATAATATTGCTCATCGCCATCATAATAAAAGTCAGCCGCGCTTCTCGAGATGGAATTTCGTTTGTAATTTCTTTTAGCAGGGAGTGATATTTTAGCAGCTGGTTTAGCTTTAGCCGGCTCGTTCACTTTCGCTGACGGTTTATTCCTAACCTCGTCCTTCCTAGGTCGCCCTCGCTTTCTTTTAACAGGGGGTTCTGCTTCGTCTATGTACACATTCACTTCAGATACAGTTGACGACTCTACCTCAGCACTAATCTGCAAAGCCCTGGCTAAAGTGAAAGGAGCTGGTTCGGAAAGTAGTCTCTGCCTGAGCCGAGGGTTGTTGGTCTTCTCTACCAGCTGTTTAATTAGAAGTTGTTCGTACAGTTCTTGGTAATTGGACGGTTTCAACAGCTGATCTAAAGCGCAGATGAATTGTCCGGCGGTCTCCCCGGACATCTGAGCCCTCTGGTTAAAGTCGAGCATGTGCTCCTGTGACGTTTGGTTAGGGGAAAAGTAAACACTAAGAGCTAAAATGGCATCTGCGTACGTCATTTTGCCTGACAGTAAGGTTGTGAGGATGCGCTGACCCTCTTGCCCCAAACAGTTTTTGAGGAGGACTAATTTAGTAGAGTCTGTCAGCTTGCTCTCTCCTAATTGTTCAGTGTAATTTTCAAAAGACCGGAGCCACCTATCCCAGGGCATACAAGGCTGTCCCGGGGCTGGGAGGAAGTTCGGAGGAGAAGACCGGATAATAAGGATTGGCTCAACAGTCATGTCCGGTCTAGAAATTTCCTCCGTTTTGATTTCTTTCATACAAGGTTCATTTGTCTCTGTCTGTTGAAATAGCTCCTGAGTTTTTTCTGCCTCTCCCATTGCAGCCAACTCCTGCTCAACCTGTGCTTCGGAATCTTGAGAATCTTCCATGTCATGTGTTGAACCTTGCTCCCTTTTAGTATTCTCTTCCTCTTGCACTGAACAGAGCTCTTCCTGGGTATACTGCGTCTCTTGTAGTGGACTCAGCGCCTCCTGAGCGTCCCATACCTCTCCCATCGTCATCATCTCTGCTGCATGGTGCATTGAAATCAGTTCATCCTGGGCTTGACCTGTATCTGCCATTGTGACGAAACTTTGGTCTTCTGACTTCAAAAGTAGCACATGCCTAGAAAAAAAGAAGAAAGTGTTTATGCAACAGCAACTTTTGTTATTCTAATTACCACAGACAGATATCTGGGACTACAGGTGGAAATAGTACTGGTGCTAGAATCTGGTACAATGAATCTCTCCTGTTAAGTCTAATGGAAAAAAAAAAAAAAAAAAAAGTGCATCTCATTAAATAAAACAAATGAATAAATAAATAAATATCCCACAAAAATGTATTTTGCCCCACTATACTAGTCCATCTCAAAAATGAAAAAGTTCAATATTTTTGTCTCTTATTTCAGTACGTCAAATTATTACATAATATTATATAAATTCATGACACAGAGTGAAATATTTTAAGATTTTTTCTGGATTTTTTAAATAATTTTGGCTAATAGTCAAAATTCAATGTCTCAGAAAATTTAAATATTACATGAGATCAAAAAACAAACAAAAAAAAAAAACATTTGAAAGCAATATTCAGCTTTTTCACACTATAAACATTTTTTGAAACACTGAATTTTGGGTTTTCATTATCTGTGAGCCATAATCATCATCAAAATGTCTTGAAAGTCTTGAAAGCTCCACTCTGTGTAATGAATTTATATATGATTATATAATATTCAGACTTTTTTTTTTTTTAAGATGGGCTAGTATATTGTATAAGCACCTTAAAGGGCCAAAATCCGACTGTGGTGTGCTATCTCTAACAGTGTTATTATAAAGTTGTTGTTATTTTTTTATTGACCATGAACTAGGAAGTAATGTTGCAGGGCAGTTTTTAAAAACCTTGCTCTGGCTTCTGAAAGTTGTGAAAAGATCAGTTCAGAAAAGCAGTCTAATAAATAGGATGTTAAGACTATGTTAACAAAGTGAGGGAAAAGTTAAAGCTGCACATTTTTTAAGACAAGAAAAAAATAAAAATAAAAATCAGGTATAGAGCTGCATGAACCATTCCTTTGGTCCGTATATCAAATATATATGAGTAAATACTTTTTAATGCAAAAACGGCCTTAACTTAATTTAATAACATGCTGTTTTTGTTTTGAAAAATGCTGGGTTAAAAACAAAATTTAATTCAGTATTTTCCCCACTGACATGCAGGGTGTAGTGAGAGGTTTGTGTGGGGGCTTGAAATATACTACCACAAATCTTACACACACACACACACAAACACACAAACACGCACGCACAAACACGAGCACGCACGCACACACACGGTCAGGGGCCTCACTTGGTAATTCTGGGCCCCCTGAAAAAATGTCCTCCCCCACAGATTAAACCAAGCAGAAAACTTGGAACACAACTGAAGCAGATGCATGCGGTAAAACAAAAACAACAAAAACTGTTTCTTCAGTTGTGAACATATATATTTGGGTTGCAAGAATCACTCGAACCAACGTTGCAATTTGAATGATATGAAATTAGTATTACAGGGAGAGAATTGATAGGGCGACTAAAATTGTAATCAGATGAAATTCTTGGTGGACTAAAGACATATCCTGCCAATTGTCTACAGCCCTAAGAATTGAGCGTGCTACGTCTAAAGCTTAGAGCAATTCAAACACTGACTGTAGGGGCTCTGCAGAGGCTAAACACGATGAAGGATGAAAGGTTATATCATAGGTATTACAGCAATTAATTACATTCTTATTGCAGATGTTTTCTTTTACACCGTGATAAAAATGCAGGTCATTTGTGGACTGGTCAAACTATTATTTCTATTGTGCAGAGACTTTTAAAATACATTATCAACCAAATAAAGGTTGAAATATGGTGACTGAAGGCTTCTAAATAGAGAATATGTACAAACAAAGTGAAATATTGATAACATTGATGATAATTAGACCATTTTGATTTAAAGCATACCCATTCTGCAAAATTGACTTTTCACAGCTTTTATCCATATTATAGCTGTTTCCCCTCACCATTTACTCCCTCAAAGTTGTTTTTAGAGTGAAATGAGCATGTTTGACCAATCTCTAATTGCCAGTCTTTATCAACTATAAAAATATTTCTTGCCATTGTTTTTTATGAGAGCAGAGGTGAAGAAACTTAACCGCAATGCCCGGTTCAACTTACCCCATAGAGTAGGGATGTAACACTAACCTAAATACTGTGATATAGTATCGTTAAAAGTGTCATAATAATATCGTGGACTGTCACATTATATCAAATCACAAGTTTCTTTGCTTAAATGCATGGTTTTATAGTAGCAACAGCTTATAAACATAGGGAACTACATATCCCATGATTCATTTCAGTGCAGACTACATGAAGAAATATGTTTTTTAACCAAAATTGTGTCAAGGTATTTTAAAAGCAAAAAAAGTGTCCCATCTACAATTATATTAGCCTCTTCAAAATATCGCAATAAATATCGAACCATGAGAAGCATATCGTGATAATATCGTACCGACAGATTTGGATATTGTTACATCCCTACCATAGAAACTTTTTTTTAAATAAATTACAATATATTATATTTGTGGGGGAAGATTTTTATTCTTATTCTTATTATCTTTTTGCAATATTTTGTGAACGTGCTGTATTTTTCTTTGAATGATTAAAAACAGAAATACTCCCAAACTTTTTAAGGAATAAGTTAAGTTTTTTTCTTTTTCAGTTTTTAATGTCATATTCTAATAAAAACAGCAGCCTATAGTTGTTTAGATTTAAGGGGCGTTTTAACTTACCCTGTGGCTCAACTTACCCCAGTCTCCCCTACCATGATGATCAACAAATATTTGGGTAACTTCCCATTGTTTTGAATAGATTCTAGCTTCTGTCAGGTCTGAAAATGTACCCCAAACTTATATTTACGTCCAACTGTTTACCTGCTAAACTTAGATCATAATGGACACTGTTAATGCATGTATGTAAAATAGCATGCGCGTAAAGCTCCCGAGCATTAGGATAACATTAGGCTAAATAGGCTGCACTGGTTTTGCCTGTGGTGGAGGAGGAGGTGGAGACGAGCCTGCGTAAAGCGCAACAACAAAGGCACGTAAACGCAACGCACGCGGTCGAACAGGGGCGTATAGCGTGTGTTTAAAGTATGCATTCAGAGGTTCGTCGTATTTCTTCTCACCGTCAGCGTGAGAGTGTTGAGGATCCAGCCAAACTCTGCAGGCATCACATCAGCGCCATGTACAAGCGCCTCGGATATGCGCCTCTTCCGCTCCGTGTCCTGCCTGCTCCGGCCACTGCGAGCGCCGCTACACGGACAGGAGGAGGGCTGCCAGATAAAAACAGCATTTCCTCACCTTCCTAAAATAATCACCGAAGTCATTTTTTTTTATTGCCAAAATTTACTTTTTGCCCTTTATCCTCTCCTCCCTCATCTGACCACCTATGGTTGAACTGCCAACACCCTGGAGTAGATCATGTGCAGTGTTGGGAAGGTGACTCTTAAAATGTATTTCCCTACAGATTACAGATTACATACATCAAAATGTAATTTGTAACAGAATCCATTAAATTACTTTAGTGACCATAATCTGAATACTTTGGATTACTTGATATTGTCATGTTTTTTAAAACTACCTGGATGTAACAATCACATCCTGAAAATTCTTGTTTGTTCTCTTCAAATTGGCTGTTGAGCCTGAGTCTCCCTGAACAGACTTTTGTTTGCTGTAAAGTAGCAAAGACTAGAATGTCTTAACATAAGATGTTTTGTCTGTTAAAAGACAATAAAAAGCCCAGTCTTTCCTTAACCGTATTAAAAAGATTATTGATAGAGAAATGCTTTCTATATGAGATCACTGCTGCTTTAAATTATGTCCACCTACTGTTAGTTGTCATATTGTTTAGACCCTGCTTTAGTCCTGGTTTAGACCTGGTTTTAGTCCTGGTTTAGTCCTGGACTGATTTAGTCCTGGTTTAATCCTGGTTTAGTCCTGGTTTAGTTCTGGTTTTAGTCCTAGTTTAGTACTGGTTTAGTCCTGGACTGGTTTAGTCCTGGTTTTAGTCCAGGTTTAGTCCTGGTTTTAGTCCAGGTTTAGTCCTTGTTTTAGTCCTGGTTTAGACCTGGTTTTATTCCTAGTTTAGTCTTGGTTTAGTCCTGATTTTACTCCTGGTGTTAGTTCTGGTTTAGTGGTGCACAGGAGGAAGCACGGTCCATCTCTTCTTTAAATACAAAGTGTAATGACAATTTTAGTCCTAACCTTTTGTCGTCTCTGGGTGCAGGGGATCCAGGCCTAACGCGCTACCCGATTGGCAGATTGGATCGTAAAGCAGAAAGGAGTAGGAAGTAGAATGGATAAGTAGAGTTGAGTAGTGAAAACTAGACCACCGGCCGTAAAGAGAGCGGTAAAAACCGTGTGACCTCCTGTCACCCATACACCCAGTGCACTGGCACCTGTGCATTTATATATAGGGCTTGACTCCACCCTGCCCCCTTGTGGCCAAGCCGAATATAGGTCACCCTGTGCCCAGACAAACAGTGACCCAAACTAACCCCAGCCTAAATGAAAGAAAAATGGCTCCTACACAAAGTGTTGTCTGAATTTCGAAGACACAAATGAGTTTTTGCCCCTGCACTGTTGGCTCTGTTCTACTGGCTCCTCGACCTCGTCCATTGTGAGACTAACACCACCAACGTTAACAAGACGTTAACACAGCTCTTATTGCACGCGTTCTGTTTGGGTTTCCGGCAATGAGTGGAATTACCAAAATAAAATTAAAACTAAACAAACAAAAAAAGGGATATAGCCCAAAGTGTGACTGTAACCGAATACAGTTAATCATAATTTGTATTCTGATTAGAAAACCATCAGTTGGAAGTTCCACAAACCTGAATCGGGGCACTTCTGGTCTATAGCATGAATCTATAAGCTCTGTGCATGGGAGCACTGTATCTCAAAGCTAACAGTCACTTTGATTAAAATTGTAAAATATAAAATAAACAACCTACTAAAGTTCAAATGAATCAAAGTAAAGATGATCTAATTGTTTTCATGTGTAGAATACTTCAGTTTGTAGCATTGTTTTAATATTTATTATGCCTCAAAATTAGCATTAATATTAGCCTTGAGATGCGACCTTTCTGAAAGCAGAAGTGTCCTCTGATGAAGTATTCATTTTATGTGTGCACTTTTTAATATGTTGCCACTCACATCCACCCACAGCTCTCAGTTCACTGCCTTATCTTTAAATATGAAGGTAATTTAGCACAACAGCAGAATTCTTGATACATAAATGTAGTATAAAAGTAGTGATTGTAACAGTGTGGCTGCTGAGCGCTATTGTGCACAGAGCCTATTGTTAGGATAAATAACAGTGCTTACCAACACTGCTGTAGTTCATTATTGTATAAAGCTGTGAGACTCATATATGTCAAGACAAATACATGACATTCCAATCGATCTAATGTAGGACGAGCAGAGATTCAAAATTCAAAACGGAGCTGGGATGGTTGGTGTAAATACTCTAAAATAGTAAGAAGAGTGCGTAACATTGTCCGTTCTTGAGTCCCTTGTGGGTCAGTGTACATCTGAGAGTCTTCTGTTGGTGTAACTGACCATCAGGACAAGAGCTACTGATAGGGATGATGCTGTGACTTGTTACCCAGACACCACCCCACTAGGTTGAAAACCTGGGTCTCCAATAGGCGGCCTGTGGGCCAACTCCGGACCTCAAGTGCTTCTGGACTGGCCAGCGAGACCCCAACCCCAATTTAAATGTGACCAATTCAGATACATTAATTACCGTATTTTCCGGGCTATTAGACGCGCTCTTAAGCCTCTAAACGCATCAAAAAACGACCGTGCGCCCACAATCCAGAGCGCCCCATACACGAATCCACTCGGGTGTCCCAGCACGACTTCAGTAAATTACAAAACCGCACCACCCACAGTGCACGCAAACACGCACGGAGCAGACAGCGACCACACAGCGAAACACACCTGCAGACACACTCATCACTGCACGAGGAACGGAACGGAGGAACGAACCGAAAAAGCGAGTGCAATGTGCCACTCTGAGCCACAACTGAGTCACTGCAAACACGCCAACAATCCAGCAGTCCCAGACAACACACTCCTTATGCACCACATTTGAACAAAGCCCAGAGTCACTGAGAACGAGCCAAACAAAGTCCGACTGACCCATCCAACTGTTGTGTTTCGTTTAAAGTCCAGTGCGGTTTATTTGTGAAAAAAGTTTGAAAATAGACCATTTAATGACACTGCGCCTTATAACCCAGAGCAGCTAATAGCCCGTAAAATATGGTACCAACATTATACATTATCAGACTCACTCATTAATTTTAGGTGTAATATCCAATATTAACCTCAAGGTCAGAGTTGCACATTTTGTTCAACTAAACGTTCCATTATGCCAAGCAAGCAGGGAGCAAGAGGAAATTCTTTTTTTTTCTATTTGTTTGTGTTGTATTTAAAACTCATCCAAGTGATAAACGGACATTTTAGGTTTTTGATCCACGCCATTTTTAACATTGTAGATTTTTTTGTGGACACCGGCTTTGCAATGTGGAAATGTTTTGGCCCTCGGGGAAATAAAACTGTGTATAAAACTCATTGTGTCTGCATGGGAATGTCAGCACTAACTCTTTGCTTTTAATATTTGATTAATGTGGGTAAATAATCAAGTGATAAAAGCTTTATGTTGACAGTATAACATTTTTTCTTGGACATTTGTGTTTCACCACTCCTTCAGATATGTTTTTGACTACGTTTACACTGAAACAAATCTGCATATCACCAAATCACCGTATTGGAAACGATCTCCATCCAGACATCCACAATCCTTCCCTATCCACACAGTTTTGAGCAGATTTATTTATGTTTTACAGAAACGAAACTTAAAACCACATCGCCAATTTGTATAAACTGAGTGCTCAAAAAACAGCTCGCTAATCATGCGCTGATGTTTCTGTCAGACTAAAGGACATGACTCAGTGGATTATATATGTTCTTTCTGTGACAGAGGGGTGTTCTGCTGATGGTGAGTCTGTTCTGTGCTTCTATCGTGTTGGAGATGATTCATTATAAACTCTTCAGAGATTATATGTCTATTATATGTCATGCGCACAGACCGGACATATGAATGGACATTTATTCTTGCCTCTTAGCATTTTGGCAGTGAAATACTTCACGGTGCATAGACCTACATCAGTGTATCAGTGTTTTCAGGTGTCCAGACAGAGCCAGATCAGATCCATACTCAAATGAATTAGTGGGAGCTGGCAGCACCAGATCATTCCGTCTCTGGAGCTATTTTCAATTGGATTAAAACAAAAACAACTCGAATATGTACTAGTGTGGACGGGGCCTAAGTTTGTCTCATTCTTGTGTCTATTCTTTAAAAATACCTGATTTTGTGCATTATTTAATGTTTTGCAACAACTGTTGGATGTTGCATTCCGAAAAGTTACTATAAGTAATACTTTTTTACTCTTGAGTCATTTCATTTCAGGTCATTGGACCGGTGCTTTGTCCTTCTTCTTGAGTAATGCTAATATGAAGTAACGTTACTCTTCAGTACATTTAACGTTACTCTTCAGTACATTTGTTACTCTTGAGTGCATTTATCATTACTCTTGAGTACATTTATCATTACTCTTGAGTTCATTTATCATTACTCTTGAGTGCATTTATCATTACATTTAAAGTTACTTTTGAGTTCATTTAATGTAACTCTTAAGAACATTTAAAGTTACTCTTGGGTAAATTAAACGTTACTCTTGAGTACATTTATCATTACTCTTCAGAGCATTTATTGTTACTCCTGAGTACATTTAAAGTTACTCTTGACTTCATTTATCATTACTCTTGAGTGCATTTATCATTACATTTAAAGTTACTTTTGAGTTCATTTAATGTTACTCTTAAGAACATTTAAAGTTACTCTTGGGTACATTTATCATTACTCTTCAGTGCATTTATCGTGACTCTTGAGTACATTTAAAGTTACTCTTGAGTGCCTTTATCATTACTCTTGAGAACATTTAAAGTTACTCTTGAGTACACTTAATGTTACTCTTGAGTACATTTAACTTTTGAGTACATTCTTTGCTCATTTCTCTACTCATCTCTGCTTATGATAGATGTCAGCTTTGTACAGGCACTGCTTTTGCCAGGAAACACCACTAGATGGAGGCACTGGCACACAGAATGAGGATGCTGGAGGACCAACGCAAAGTGGCCCTTTCCACATGTTTGTTAGTTTGCTCTAGTATAAAGAGGGAGGTATTA